AGATCTCTGTGAGTTCAAGGACAGCCTGGTCTACATAGGGAGTTCCAGGACAGCCAAAGATACACGGAGAAACCTTGTCTCAAAAAGCCAAAAATTAAAAATAAAAATGAAAGAAGTAGAGGTTAAAATAAAGCCACGTAAAGATGAAAAATACACAGAGAATCTGGATACTGTATGTTATTGTGTTATCTTTAAACTGTTTGATGACTGAGGAAGGAGCAAAAGCTGCTAAAAGACATTTGATTATAAATGCTGCTGGATTAATTCAATATATATAAATATATAAAATGCTTTGACTTTAAAATTGAAGTCAAAAGATATGTTACTTTGGAGAAGAGGTTTTGCTTTTGTTTCCACAGGAAATGGGGGACTGTGGGCTCATTCTGCATTAAGTAAAATCAGGCTTGACCAAGGAAGACCACCTGAGAAATCTCCAATGGGAGGAATGGCCCATATGTCTGAGTTCTATATTCAGAACAGCTCAAAGATTGCTGCCTGAGATGATCAAGACTCACAGGATACTCCAGTCAGGACTTGATCATAATTCTAAATTTTCTTTAGGTCCCTATAAGATTATCAGTGTCCCCAGTCAGCAGGAAGTATCCTGGAAAACTATGACCCCATTCCCAAAAAATGGATTATGGATATTTATCTTTGTTTAGAATGTTGGCTACAAGATGTTATGAAAAATGATCTGGATAAAAAGCTAAACAAAGGAGATTCGATTCAGAGTTCTCTTTTTAAAAAAGGGGGAAGTGCTGTGGGACCATGGTCTGTACCCTGTCACTTAATAAGAAGGCTGAGATACTAGGCCAGTTTATAATTAGTCAGTTTATAATTGATGTAGACCTCTGTGTGATTTCTTTGGGGCTGGACGACTGTGGGAACCAGGCAGGACAGAAGAGAGCTGGAGGGGCACCAAAGGCTGCCTGAGGTCCAGAGCTGCTCTAAGTTCTGTGAGGTGTAGCTTGCCTCAGATGAATAAATATCTTTTTCCTTCTCTTCACTTCCATCCTTTCTGTTTGTTTGTTTTTCAAGACAGGGATTTTTCTGTGTAATTCTGACTGTCCTCAAACTCGCTCTGTAGACCAGGTTGGTCTCAAAACTCAGTGATCGGCCTGTCTTTGTCTCCGAGTGCTGGGATTAAAGGTGTTTGCCACCACCGCCCAGCTCTATTCTTTCTTCTATTAAAAAAAAATATGTGAATGTGTGTGTACTTGCTGGGAAGGTATATATGTGTGCACATGTGTCTGTGTGTGTGATCGTGTGTGCATGCATGTGTGTGTGTGCATGCACATGTGTGTGTGCTCTGAAGCCAGAAGTTGATACTGGATGTCTTCTTTGATCCCGCCTCCTTCTCTTCTCTTTCTTTCTTTCTTTCTTTCTTTCTTTCTTTCAGATTTTTATTTATTATGTATACAGTGTTCTGTCTGCATGTATACCAGAAAAGGGCACTAGATCTCATTACAGATGGTTGTGAGCCACCATGTGGTTGCTAGGAATTGAACTCAGGACCTCAGGAAGAGCAATCAGTGCTCTTAACCTCTGAGCCATCTCTCCAGCCCCCTCTCTCTTCTTTCTCTTTCTGTCTCTCTCATACATGAGAGACTCTAAGTGCTATGGATTTGAATTCACATCTTCACATCAAGTTTATAAAATAGGCATGTTAGCAACTGAGTCATCTCCCCAGCCCCTTTAAAAATGTTGGCACAGCCGGGCGGTGGTGGCGCACGCCTTTAATCCCAGCACTCGGGAGACAGAGGCAGGCGGATCTCTGTGAGTTCGAGTCCAACCTGGTCTACAAAGGGAGTTCCAGGACAGGCTCCAAAGCTACAGAGAAACCCTGTCTTGAAAAACCAAAAAAGAAAAAGAAAAAAAGAAAAAAAAATGTTGGCACAAACCTTTAATCCCAGCACTCGGGAGGCAGAGGCAGGTGGATCTCTGTGAGTTCGAGGCCAGCCTGGTCTACAAGAGCTAGTTCTAAAACTACAGTGAAACCCTGTCTTGAAAAACCAAAAAAAAAAAAAAAAAGTTTACTGTTGGTTAGATGTGTCTCATTCTAGTCCTCACCAGGTCTCTTCCACTAGAGCTGCTCAGAGTCCAGGCCCAGCAAGGGTGGAGCCTGCAGGGTGGGGGGTCAGCAGCTCTGCCTCAGGTCACCCATGACGTCAAAGCTGGAGACATGGAGTTCTACGTGGTCCCAGCTCCTCTGTACCAGAACCGTGCTAAATGTTTCCTTGTCAGTCTTCTTGGCTACCATCTCCCCTCTCTCCCCCGACAAAGTCACATCAGAACGAATCTCCTATTCCAGCTCACTTCCCTGTCCAAACCCCAACAGACAGATGCCCACAGAGATGCCTTACGTTGATCATATTTAATTGGAGAAGGGTGTCTTTCTGTCGTGGCAGGGTCTCTCTCTATAGTCTAGCCTGGCTTCAAACTCTGGCTCCTTCTGCCCCCAGTCTCTCTAGTACTAGGATTATAGGCGTGTGCCACCGCACCTGGGTAAAGTTTGTCTGTCTGTTTATCAATGCAGAGTCAGACTCCTAAGCCATACTGGAGACTAAGGTTCCTTTCCTGGCCAGAACACAGAAGGAAGGCGGGAGAATCAGAGTTTGGGTTCCAAACCCCCGGAGTGCAAGCCCACCCTCTTCTTCACTACCCAGACCTACAGCTGATCCTGCCTGGCCTCATCCTTTCCAATGTCCCCTCCCTCAGCTTCCCTAGGGAGCTTCCAACCAGGGTTTCACTTTCTTAGCAGCCTCCTCCTTCCCCATTTCCTCCTTCTGTTTCTTTTTTTTAAAAATACTTATTTATTATGTATACAATATTCAATCTGTGTGTGTTTGCAGACCAGAAGAGGACAGCAGACCTTGTTACAGATGGTTGTAAGCCACCATGTGGTTGCCGGGAATTGAACTCAGGACCTTTGGAAAAGCAGGCAATGCTCTTAACCACTGAGCCATCTCTCCAGCCCTTTCTGTTTCTTCTCTCTATCAGTCCTAGTCTTCTGTGGCATTGGGGCTGGGACCCAGGGCCTTGAACATGGTAGCTAAGCATTCTGAGAAGACATTCCTAGACTTGGCCTCCTCTTCCACCCCCACCCCCCTGAGATTTATTTAGTATGTATATAGTGTTCTGCCTGCATGTATGCCTGCAGGCCAGAAGAGGGCACCAGATCTCATTACAGACTGTTGTGAGTCACCATGTGGTTGCTGGGAATTGAACTCAGGACCTCTGGAAGAGCAGCCAGTGCTCTTAATCTTTAAGCCATCTCTCTAGCCCCTTGGCTTCCTCTTTTTTTTTTAAATAACAATTTTTAATTTTTGATGGCCTCCTCTTTTTTTAACTAATACATTTATCAAACACAGCAATCACCCTCTCCTGTTGGCACTCCCAGGGCTATGGGCTGTGGCTCACCCTGTCTCTGCAGCCTCTTCCTAGCCTCCCTAGGTCTCTGGAGCACATTACCCCACAGCCCTCCCCTTGCAGTAGGCATCTTGTACCCTGCTCTGAAATCTGGCCACAGTGCTCCCCTCTCTGCTAAGGCACTCTCTGTTGATTAGATTCTCAGCCTTTGTCTTGGTTAGTTTTCTGTCAACTGGATACAGCTAGAATAGTGGTTCTCAATCTTCCTAACGCTGTGATCTTTTAATACAGTTCCTCATGTTGTGCTGACCCCCAACCATAAAGCTGTTTTTGTTGCTACTTCATAACTGTAATATTTATTTATTTATTATGTATACAATATTCTGTCTGTATGTCTGAAGACTAGAAGAGGGCATCAGACCTCATTACAGATGGTTGTGAGCCACCATGTGGTTGCCGGGAATTGAACTCAGGACCTTTGAAAGAGCAGGCATTGCTCTTAACCACTGAACCATCTCTCCAGCCCCATAACTGTAATTTTGCCGCTGTTTTGATCCATAATGTAAGTATCTGATATGTAGGATGACCGTAGGCACCCCATGTGAAAGGGTTGTTTGAACCCTCAAGTGGGTTGAAACCCAGGTCGAGAACTGCTTAGCTAGAGTCATGCTAAGAAAAGGGACACTCAATTATTTTTTTCAAAAAAACAAACAAACAAACAAACAAAAACCCTCTGTAAGATTTGCCTGCTTACAGATCCGAGAGTGCATTTTCTTAATTACTGGGGGATGTGTGAGGGCCCAGCCCATTGTGGGTGATGCCATTCCTGGGCAGGTGGTCCTGGGGTACTATAAGAAAGTAGGCTAAGCAAGCAAGGGGTATGGCAAGCCAGGAAGCATCATTCCTTGGCCTCTCCATCAGGTCCTGCCTCTAGGTTCCTGTTCTGCTTGCATGCTGCTTGGAGCTCCGTGGACTGCTCCGGGAGAGCTTTGGAAGATGGGAGTATCAAGAGAAATGCAGATAATGGAGGCCTGGCTTGCGAAGTTTCAGAGGAAATTTTGAGAGCTTCTTAAAGATTATTAGGTTTATTAGATATTGTGAATTAAAAATACGTGGTTCGGGTTAGCTGGACTAGCCACGTGATTACACTGGGTGTGTGGGATCCCAGTGTAGCATTGAGCCTTTCTCAGTGTGAGATTTTTTTCTTCTATTTTCTTTTAGACAGGGTTTCTCTGTGAAACAGTCCTGGCTGTCCTGGAACTCGCTCTGTAGACCAGGCTGGCCTCTAATTCACACAGATCCTCTTGCCTCTGCCTCCCAAGTACTGGGATTAAAGATGCGTGTCACCACTGCCTGGCTCAGTGTGAGATTTTAAGCATAAAAAAACATGCTCTGAGTTGACATATTCCAGTTATAAGGAACAGTTAACCAGAAGTGGACTACAGAAGCAAAAAAGCAAGATTGGCACATTTAGAAACTTCCCCAGAACTGTGGACTTCGATGGACAAGGCCTTTGTTCCAGTTTCCGCGGGTGGTGCTGTCTGCGAGCTGAGTTTATGGCCTGAATGACTCTGTCATGATGTCAGTCGCGCTGCCGGCTGGGGGCCTTTTACACCTCAGCTACAGCAGGATATGGGAGATGCCAGTGCCATGGGATGACCACCAAGGACAGTAGCTGTCCTGGAATGGAGCTAGGCTGAGCCTAGAAGACAAGCTGTGTGCTGCAGAGGTGGAGAGAGAAGTGGTCCATTCCTTAGAGGAGCCCGGAAGACTGTGAGCAGATCCCAAGCACTGGGCCCGGCTTATTTATGCTATCAGACTTTGGATTTGCTTTGTTCAGGTGGTAACAGTGTCCTGCTTCTTCTCTCTATTTAGCTGATTTTTTTTTCTTTTTAAACAGGATCTCACAGTTGAGAGACTTTAAAGATTTTCAGAGAGACTTTGCATTTTGGGGGGAAGCAGGGACTCACTCTGTAGCTCTTGCTATATGGAACTCTACGTAGATCAGGCTCCCCTCCAATGCGGAGCTCTGCCTCCCGGGTGCTGTGATTAAAGGTGTGTGCCACCACGCCCTATGGGACTTTGCATTTTTAAAGAAACTTTGGGTATTTTAATGAGACTGAATTTTCAAAGTATTGAAATTGTAGAGACTGAAACATTTAAAGTCTATACTATGTCTATATTGCGATATTAATCTGAGATCTTGGGGATGAAGGAAAGGCTGTTGTTAGTGTTGTATTCGTGTGTCAAGTTGACAAGGGGTCAGCTGTCCTGACTAGTTTTCTGTCCACTTGACACAAGCTGGAGTAATTTCAGAAGGGGGAGTCTCAATTGAAAACACCCCTCGTAAGATTCAGGTGCAGGCAAATCTGTGCTGCATCTTCCCAGTTACCCGTCGGTGTGGATGGCCCAGTCCATTGTGGGCAGTGCCGTTCCTAGGCAGGTAGGTGTCTCAGAGCTGTGGGAAAACAGGCTGAGGGAGCCAGAGGAGGAATCAGCACTCCTCCTCGGGGCTTACAGGTAAAGCCTTGTGGGTGGTGGAAATTGAACCCAGGTCCTCTGGAAGAGCCATCAGTACTCTTAACCACCAAGCCTTCTCTCCAGCCTCCTAATTCAATACTTAATAAGCACACACAATTATATCTGTAGTAATGAGGATGGATCCCAGGGCTTCCTGCAGGCTCTAGGCAAGTGCTCTCCTTATGAGCTATATCCTGAACCCCCAAATTTTGTGTGTGTATGTAGGTTGCCTGTGTGTTGGGAATTAAACTCAGAGCCTTGAGTATGCTAGGCTAATGTTCACAAAATGTTTCTAATATCCATTTTGCAAAATTCACGAAAATTTAAGCATCAGCCTAGAGGCTCAGCTATGCACATGGATTCAGTCATCAGGACTGAGGCTCTGCACGTGGCCACTAGGGGGCAACAGACACAGAGATTCGCAGCTGGAAACCCAAGAAGAGGTGGCAGGATCTCCTTCCCACCTTCTTGGCTCAGGAACCAGAGTGGCCGAGATCCCGGTATGTCCAAAGGCCGCCTGTGGTCTCAGACACCAGGCTGTCTATGAGCATTTTGCTAAGTGCCCCTGCCATTTGAGAAAGCCCCAACAGCCACTGAACCGCACCCGGCTGCCTCTCTTGCAGGCATCTGGTGAGTGGTGTTCATATTTCCCCGTCTGGGCATCCGCAGAAGTCCAGACACTAATTGGCTGGAGTTAATTAACTGCCGGTCTCTTGGTTTATATTTTCGTCCAGCTGGATTGTTGAGAAGGCCCTGGAGGAGCACTTCCTCTGAGTCACCCTGGCAGACAGCATCTGGACCACACAGCTAGGGCCCTGTTCCCTATTCAGCTGAGGCCAGAGGTTAAGAAGAGGATGTCTGGGTTCACCACAGCATGACCTTGGACAGAGCATTTAGCTCGCTGGGCCAAGGCAGACATGCTGATGCTTCCTTGGTGTCCAGGCCTTGTTTCCTCCTGTCCTAGCTTCCAGAAAGTACTACTGATACAACAGTAGAGTTTGTTGTGCGCCGGCTGAAGGAAGAACTCTGTCTTGTAAGAATTCTAGAATGCAGATAGAGGACAAATTAGGTAAACGGGGTACTGATGTTTGGCGGGGGAGGAGGGGGGTCTGATTTAAGGTAGGCCCGTTGCTGCAAGACCTAGTAAGATTTGGCTAGGATCATGTTAGCACACGATTAAACTCTAGTAGGTCAAGACTGTTCTAGGGTGTCATGGTAGGAGAGTCTCGTAGTCTTGGGAAGGTCTGTGACTCAGTGGACTTTCCTGAACTCGACGGCAAGGTTATTTACAAAGTTTGCCTTCCTGGACAAGTTTTTCCTGGCATAATCAAGTCACAATATGTGCAGAGTATTAAGCGTCACCCGGTGTAAGTTGGAATTCTTTGCTTTATTTTATTCTTTCAACAGTCTCGTGCAGCCCATGTTAGCCTCAAACCTGCTATGTAGTCCAGTGTGGTGGTCTGAATGAGAACGGTCCCATAGACTTACATATCTGAATCCTTGCTCCCCAGTTGGTGGAACTGTTTGGGGAAGCATTAGGGGGTGTGGCCTTCCTGGAGGAGGTGTGTCACTGGGGGTGGCTGTGGGGTTTCAAAAGCCAATACCATTCCCAGTTAGCTCTCTCAGCCCCACCCCCCCAGTGGTTGTATCTCAAGATGTAAGCTCTCAGCTTCTGTTCCAGCACCATGCCTGCCTGCCTGCGGCCTGCTCCCCGCCATGATGGTCATGGACTCTGACCCTTTGAAACTGTAAGCCCCAAACAGATGCTTTCTTTGCTAAGTTGCCTTGCTCACGTGTCTCTTCAGAGCAAGAGAAATGTGACTATGATGCCCATTTTAAGCTTGAACTCCTGATCCTCCTCCATCCCCCTGGTGCAGAGATGTAGGCACGTGTACCCCACACAGCAGAGATGCAGGCACGTGTACCCCACGCAGCTGAGACTCAGGCACGTGTACCCCACGCAGCTGAGACTCAGGCACGTGTATACCACGCAGCTGAGACTTGCCAAGATCTTAAAAAAGGCCCCGTGACATTCGAGTCCTGGCCTACTAGGAAGCTGTGTAAGCGGGGCAGCTCTCTCCTGAGTACCTGCCCTCATGCGTGTAGTGGGGAAGGTGGCTCCTTGGACACGGGTAGTAAAGTGAAGTGGAAGAGCCGTGTTGAACATAGCTGCCAGAGTTGTTCTGAACGAAGTTCCAGAAGATTCTGGGGGCACTTCAGTCCTGCAAACTGTGAATCCGGGATAACAGACTTTGTGAGAAGTCATGATCCAAAGGAGGCCCTTTGGGAAGAGCGGGCGTTGCCCAGATTGAGAGGAAGCAGAAGAAATAAGAAAACTAAGCACTGACTGAGCCCAGGATGCGGGGACTCCTTTGAGTCCCTTCTTGTTCTCAGTATTTAGCAAGCAGTTATTTTTCTTTTTATTATCATTTTCATTTTGTTTGTTTGTTTGTTTTTGGAGACGGGGTTTCTCTGTGTAGTGTTGACTGTCCTGGAACTCCCTCTGTAGACCAGGCTGGCCTTGAACTCACAGAGTTTCGCCTGCCTCTGCCTCCCGAGTGCTGGGATTAATGGTGTGCACCACCACCGCCCGCCAAGCGAGCAGCTCTTTACAGCCTGGATGTTGTGGAATATTATCTTAAGATGTGCTACATTTGTTTTCCCTATGGAACATTTGTTTTAATGATACAAAGATGTGTTGCATTCTTTTATGTTGCATTTGTTTAACTTTGTGAAGCTGTGATGCTTTGCCTGTCTAAAACATCTGATGGGCTAATAAAAAGCTGAATGGCCAATAGCTAAACAGGAGAAAGGATAGGCGGGGCTGGTAGGCAGAGAGAATAAATAGAAGGAGACATCTGGGAGGAGAAGATGGAGGAGCAAGAGAACAAGGAGAGGAGGACACAAGGCCAGTCACAGTCACACAGCCAGCCCCAGAGAAAGAGTGAAAGTAATGTACAGATGGAAGAGAAAGGCAAAAAGCCAGAGGCAACACGTAAATGGGGGTAATTTAAATTTAAAAAAGCTCACTAGAAATAAGCCAAGCTAAGGCCGGGCATTTATTTGGGAACTGGGGAGTGGGCACCTCAAAAGAGTAAAGAGTAAAAACAGTCAACTATACCTGGAGCTTTCAGGTTTGCAGGAGATCCTTGAAGTCCCCAGGCATCCATCCGTCTGTCTGTCTATCTGTCTATGTATCTATGTATCTATCTATCTATCTATCTATCTATCTATCTATCTATCTATCTATCTCCTACTTAGTTTGTTAGAGACAGGCTCTCACTTTGTAATCCTGGCTGGCCTGGAAGTCACAGAATTCTATCTTCTTGTCTGTGCCTCTCAAGTGCTGGGATTTCAGGCTTGTACCACACAGGGCAGCTGCGTTCACCCTGCTGGCAAATCTGTGCACAGCCTAGTGTGTAACCAAAGCAGAGGGCGCCGAGTGACACTGTGAGGTTAGGGAAGTGGCTCTTTTTATTTTCTTATGTTTTAAAGATTTATTTATTTATTTGTTTGTGTGTGTGTGTGTGTGTGTGTGTGTGTGAGAGAGAGAGAGAGAGAGAGAGAGAGAGAGAGAGAGAGAGAGAAATCATATTCTTTTCCGAGCATGAGCTGATGTTACATTATTGACAGCTGTAAATAGATTTACAACCTTTGACCTAGCTATTTCCTTTCTAGGAATCTAACTTGAGGAAGTAATTGGAGATGCTTTCAAAGATGTTTTAAGCAAGTTTTATTGAGACATTATGTGTAACAGTAAAAGCAATGAGTGTCCAGCCTGAGAAGACACAAGGTTAAGTAAGTGTTGTTGCGTTTTACAATGGGATATTATGTAGACATTAATAACCATGTTATGAATGACTTACTGATATGCGAATGTGCCAGGCTATATTATAATTTAAAATCCAATTAGTGTAGTAGTATGATTACAATATTATAAAAATAAAAATATATTATCTATAACTTGTTTAATTAAGTAAAAATTTTGAGGCTTTTAATTGATCAGTGATTTTTAATTTTTTTACATTTTTTTACTTTTTATGTGCATGAGTATTTTGTCTGTCTTAGTTACTGTTCTATTGCTGTGAAGAGACACCGTGACCAAGGCCACTTATAACAGAAAGCATTTAATTGGGAGCTTGAGAGAGACTGGGCCTGACATGGGCTTGATTAAGGATGCTTGCTTTTCTTACAGAGGTCTCAAATTCAGTTCTCAGCATCCATACTGGGCAGCTTGCAACCATCTCTAACTCCAGTACCCGGGGATTCAACACTGTCTTCTTTCCTCCTTGGGTATCCACACATATCTTGGATATGTGCACATAGACACACACATATACATATAAATAAAAAATAAATCTTAATAATTATCTCTCAGAGCAATCAAATACAGTATTTGGAATCTTTCGAGACAGAGTTTCTCTTTATCGCTTTGGAACCTGTCCTGGAACTCACTCTGCAGACAGGCTGGCTTCAAACTTACAGAGATCTGCCTGCCTCTGCCTCCCAAATACTGAGATTAAAGGTGTGCACCACCACCACCTGGCTTTAGCTAGGGTTTTTTTAGTACTCCTAACAATGGGAATGGTGGTGACTTTGACTCTTTTGACTGCTCTTGGGACTCTTTTCCTCCTACTGGGTTGCCTTGCCCTGCCTTGCTGAGCAGTAGTGGCGCACACCTTTAATCCCAGCACTCGGGAGGCAGAGGCAGGCAGATTTCTGTGAGTTTGAGGCCAGCCTGGTTTACAGAGTAATTTCCAGAACAGTCAAGACTTCACAGGGAGACCCTATCTCAAAAAACAAAACCAAAGCCAGCTAAACAACCACAGCACGTATGCAGAGGATCTAATGCAAGATCCGTGGTTGTCACTTTGGTCTCTGTGAGCCCCTGTGAGCCCTGCTTAGCTGATTCTGTGGGCCATGTTCTCTTGGTGTCCTTTGACCTCTCTGGCTCCTGCAATCTTTCCTTCTCTTGTTCTGTAGGGTTCCAGAGCTCTGCCCAAAGTTTGGCTGTGAGTCTCTGCATCTGCTCTATCTCGTGATGTTTATCCACACTCCATCAGAACGGCATGATGTAAGTAAGGCTGTTGCAGGGTCTGGGTTTAGCTGTGGGGCCTGTGCCCATGGAGCACAGTGCCCAGATTCACTGGCATCTTCTCGGCCTTCCTAGTGTTCATGCAATGTGGAAGGCAGATGTAGGTGGGGGGAAGAAATGAATCAAGGATGTTTCCCCAGCCCAAGTCTTGAGCAACTGGGGAATCATGCTGCCGATTCCTGAGCCAGGAAAACCCGAGCGTGCATCTCTTTGGGAAACCTGCTCAAAGTCCAGGTTCTGGTGTCCAGGTCATGACTTGAAGGGACAGGCATGGAAGCGGGCATGGGGGTCAGTGACCCCAGCACACAGGATGACCACTGATGACCACTCTTGGCTGCTGCTGCTCCTCTCACACACCTGCAGCTCCCCACCCTTGCCGTCAGCCTCCTGGCTGCAGAAACAGCCACACTGACTGGCCCCAAGTTGCTCATTAGCAGCAATTAGCAGAACCACTCATTTCCCTGGAGGGAAGAGGGGGAGGAGAAACAGGTTGGGAAGTAGCTCCCACCCTGCGGGGGTGGCCCAAGCTGGTTTCTCCATGTTTCCTCTGTGGCAGGCATGACGTGGCTGCCCAGGTCACACCTGGGGTGGGGGACAGCTAGGCCATGGCTCAAAAGTGCCCCCCCCCAAGGCAGAGACATGCATCTTTCGGCCATGTATTCAGCTCACCTGGAACTAAAGCAGGGCCATGGCCCTGCACCACCCTCTACTCTCCAGCCAGATTGAAGCCCCATGTGGCCAGTCTCTTACTCCTCTGTGAGTCTCAGAGACACTGACCAGGAGATAACCCCAGCCATACCTCTATGTCGGAACTCAGAGGTCCGACCTCTTGTCCATGAGTCAGGATGAGTCATCAGGAGTGTGAGGAAGAGTTTAGCCTGACCAAGGGCACCCCTGTGTATCCTGTAACCCATTTTCTCCGGGCCACGTCCCCAGCTGGACTCTGCCTGGCTCCCTCTGAACCTTCTGGCTCTGTCCAGGGGATGACCTGGTTTGTGGCATCAGCTGCCTGATGGAGCCCAACTGATATCAAGATGCTACTGTGATGACAGCCACTTGAAGTCTGCAAATTGTGTGGCTATTGTCAGTCCTGCCAGCGGGCAGAGCCAGCTTTAGCAAGCCCATCACCAGCACCGCTAGGCCCTGTTATTGGTCCATCATTAGTTCTGCCTTGACTGGCCTGGTACTGTCCGTGTAGCCCAGCTGCCTCCGACCTGATACCGTCCTCTTGCCTTGGTCTCGTGGGTGCTGGGGTTACCACCGCATCTCTCTGTCTATTTTCAAATCTGATCTTGTCGTGGTTCTGAGCCATGGATGTGTGGCTTTCCTCCTGGCAGGCAAGTTACCTGTCACTGGGCTCTACCCTCAGGCAGAGTCCCTTGAATTAGCCAGCGATTTTAAGGACAAAGTGCAAAGGGAGCTCCAGGCTCACCCAAAAATTCGTGAGTCACCTTGAAGTGGTGGAAAGAAGCTGCTCTCTCTAGCAGAGGGAGCAGGCTGGGATGGGGCGTAGAGGGAGAGTCCTGGAACCCAGTACTGTTCCTGGGGGAGGGCTGGACACTTCTTCCCCAGGCCCCCTTCCAGGCTGGTGGGCATTGTTCATGAGCACCGTGATGTCAGTGTGGAGAAGGAGATTAACACTCAGAACTCCAGCAGCCGTCTTCTCTTTTCTTTTATAAAGCTTTGATTTTATCGTTAAAATTATTATTTATTTTTTTCTCATGATAGGGCTCCTCTACTTAGCCCAGGCTGGACCTCAAGATCCTTCTGCCTCAGCCTCCCAAGTACAGGGACAGCAGGTGTGGATCATCACACCCGACTCCAGCCTACTCACTGAAGATACAAAGGCTGAAAACACACCTTCCAGGCAGCTTCTGGAAGGGAAGAACTCCGAAGATGGAGAAAGTAAAGACACAAGGGGAGCCACAAAGGCAGGGATAAAAGCAGCTGATTAAAATACCTGAGCCTCTTGGTGGAACCCAAGAGCCAGACATGCTACATATTCCAGGAAGACAGTCTCAGCCTGATGCTCTGGGAGTCACATGATCAGCATGGAGCTCGGAAGCCTAGCACCCAGAGTCAGATAGCTAAGCCCTGTCTGTGTTCAGAATGCATGGGATGGTCAATGTTGGGATCCCTGAAAGGACAGGAAGGTGGGCTGAACAGGGAGAGCGATTCTTAATCTCCACCCGTAGGAAATGCTGAGAACTTCCTTACAGGAAAGCTTTGTTCTCTGGGCTCAGGGGTGGGAAGTTCCCAGACTGCAGAGCTCCGCATTGGGAAGAGGAGATGGAAGAAAGGATGTCACGGGTCTGCACCATGCAGCCCTATCCTGACTTTCTTGTCACCAGAGAGCTGTGGGGCGGTGTGGAGTCAGGCGTTGTTGGTGTGCTGGTTTGGATGAGAGGGCTCCCGTAAGTCTCCAGCACCGAACACTCGGTCGTCAGTGGTTGTTTGAAGAGGGTTAGGTATGTCCTGGCTGGAGGAAGTATGTTACTTGGGGAGGGCTTTGAGGTTTCAAAAAGACACCTACAGTTTCAAGTGAGCTCCCTCTGCTTCCTGTTTGTGGATCAACATGCGTGTGAGCTCTCAGCCGCTATCCCACCACCTTTTGCCTGCTACCTCCACTCTGCCCTCCTGGACTCTGACCCTCTGGAACTGTAAGCCCTAAATAAACTCTTCTGCAACTTGTCTTGGGCATGGTGTCTCATCACAGCCTTAGAAACGTGACTAAGACAGTCGGCTTGTCATAGGAGGGGCGGAGGGACAGAGCTCTGGGGAAGAGCTGGGAAGGGCTAGAGGAGCCTGAAGGAAGGCAAGGGCATGGGGACTTTGGGAGGGCTCTGAGGGGGGACCACACCCAGGACTGGGTTGGAGCCCTGAAGGACCCGAGTTTCTGAGAGGCAGAGAAGCCCAATGCCTTGCTGTTTCCAAGGCAACAGGTTCACAGCTGGGAGTGTGATCAAGTGGGAGGCGGGACATCAGAGAGCAGTGCTGCCTCAGTAATCTAGTATCCCCAGGGCCACCCAGACCAGGCTCCTCAAAAGCATTCATGCCCAGTGGGGCAGTGAGGACTCACCTGTGTGCCCCTCTCTTGTCCAGGCACAGTGATAAAAAAGCTGTCAGAAGCAGTGGAAGGAAGGCTCACAGCTAGGGGGGAGGGCGGCGATACCGTTCCTCACAGAGCGTCCCCAGGGCTCCCAGCCTTGGCTGCGAGGAGGTTGGCTGCATCAAGTTGGCAGTCAGGAGGTGGAGGGAAGAGAATGATGGTGCCCATCGGGCTTTCTCCTGTCTACTCTTTTATTCAGCCTGGGCCCTCAGGTCAGGGGATGGTGCTGTCCACAATCAGACTATGTGGTCCACCTTCAGCTAAACTTCTCTGGAAATACACTTGGCAGGCCACAAAAGTATGTCTGCCAGGTGATTCCAAATCCGATCAACTATCACAAACCGGAAGCCCTCTGTTTCTCAATTTGATACCCAAACCCATCAATTTACCTGTAACACTTTACCCTTTCCTTCAAGGCTCGAATTTAGGTCATTTGTAGGAGGCCCTAAAATCTTTTGTTGTTGTTGTTTTGTTTTTGAGACAGGGTTTCTCTGTGTAGCCCTGGCTATCCTGGAACTTGCTCTGTAGATGAGGCTATCTTCAAACTCAGAGATATCTGCCTCCGCCTTCTGAATTCTGGGCTTAAAGGTGTGTGCCACCATGTCTGGCTAGGTCCCCAAAATCTTACTAGTTCTAATATTGTTGAAAAGCTGAAATCTCTTCTGAGACTCAAAGCAGTGTTGGTGAGGCACTGTAAAATAGAGAGAGATATATAAGTCGTATATTTCCAATGTAAAATGGCACAGGGTAGTTTTTCCCTTGGCTTTCCACCTTGTGTGCAGCATCCAACCTCTGGTGGATCCCAAAATCCTCAAAAAGAGGTTCAAGCAGTTTTCCTGGCACCAGTCAGACTGATACCTCACAATTAAGCAAAACTGGCAGGAACCCAGAATTATCAGCAACAGGGTGTGGAGAAGACTCACGAACAACATGCTGATGACCAAAATTGATGTTGTGAGCAGCAAGAAGACCAAGCTCACGCTGCCAATTGGCTTCAGGAAGTTCCTGGTCCTCATCAGGAGCTGAAAGTGCAACAGATCTTACTGTGGTCAGTCATTCATTTTCCTCTAGGAACTGCAGCGCCACCGTAGAGCCAGCTGTACAGTTGGGGTCAGAGCCACTAAGGCCAACACCAGGCTCACAGTGTTTTATTTGTGCTTATGTAAATCTGCAAAAACAATCTACTGAATGATAAAGAGTAAATATTTCCACTCCATAAGGGAGGAATGTAGGGGTAGCGAGGGAAAACTGGATTAAAGCAAGGTCGAGATTTTGAAGGGAGACCCTGCAGTTCTGTGCCTGGCATCTGGGGCTGCTGGTGGCATCATCCAGGTTCCAGCAGGTTTGGGTCCTCCATTCATCCCATTCTGCAACCTGCAGTATATGCAGCCTCTCTCAGGTCAGCTCTATCCTCTGCCTGCAGCTTTCCTGGGCGGATGTTCTAGCCCTGGCATAGCCAACACCCTAGGGCAGTGGTTCTCCATCTTCCTAATGCTGCGACCTCTTAATACAGTTCCTCATGATGTGGTGATTCCCAACCATAAACTTATTTTGGTTGCTACTGCATAACTGTAATTTTGCTACTGTTATGAATTGTAATGTAAATGTCTGATGTGCAGGATATCTGATATGTGACCCTTGTGAAAAGGGCACTGGACCCAAAGGAATTGTGACACACAGGTTGAGAATCACCACCCTAGGGTCCCTACAATTTAGGGTTCACTTTCGTAGCTCAATAGAATAGCCTCCTTGCCAGGAAGTCAATCTTGACACACATTGCCTGGCCTCAGTGACCTGGAAACCTGGTGCAAGCTTCCATGATCTGGGCATTACGTGGATGCCATTGTGAAGGGTTGATCCCACCT